TATATTATGTCAATTATGGTATTATCTTCATATCTTTTTAATGTGAGGAATCAGGTGCAACATTGATATACCTATCCATAATATACTGTTGCATTAAAATCATTGGTACTTTTCTCTTCACTGTCATGTAGTATATTATGAGGCTTGATTATGATTATTATGTACACTTGTTTTTAAAATCATATGATGTATGATAATCAATTACTGGTGAGCTCTAGGTGTTTATTTCCCTGGTAACTGGTAACCTTTATTATTCTACTGTGTCATGTGTCCTTCTGTATACCTTATTGAACTGTATCTTGTCTTTTAGTATCATGTCTTGTTGTCATAGACTGTATATACTATGAACAACAAGTGTCAATCATAGAAAACTTGAACCCCCTAATAACTTTTAAAAACAGAGTTTCACATAAAAAAGAGGACTTGAGCACAAACTAGTCTAAAAGTAACTACACGTCAACATCGCAAACAGGAGGGAGAAAAATGTATATTCTATGTAATTAATTTTTAAAGTTTGTCCACAGCCCCATAAGCTTCGCTGGAGGGGGCGGGATTTATGACCTATACTGCAGCCAGTCGCCAGATGGTGCTGTTCTCGGAGTGGCTTCACCATTGAGGAGGCGGACGCTGTCCATTCGATATACAGTCTATGGTTGTCGTGCTGTGGTCTACCATATTATTTCATGTTATAACATATTATTTCTTATCATACTACAGTATATGATTATACTATTATCAAATCTATTACGTCGTTTCATTTCCTGTTATATTTGATCTTCATTTTGTTTTAACCATATTTAGTGCATATGATTGATAATCTTGTATCATACGTTTGTAATCGTATTGTGTCTTGTGTCATATCTTGTCCAGTTGGAATGATCTTGTATTGAATGGTATCTAATTGTATGGCTTGTACAAAATTGTGTCTTATTGTATATATTCTATTGTATCATAATGTGTTCTGTTGTACTGTATGATTTTTACTGCATGGCATTGTGTTGTGTGGTATCCTGGTGTATGATATTGCGCTGTATTAGATTGTATTTTACAGCACATAATTATAAGATATTTAATAGTATTGAGTCATACTCTGTATGCTCGTATTGTTCAGTATCATCCTACTGTACCTTATATTTTTGTATGGTAACATGACATATGGTATTGTGTCAAATGACTTCCTGGTTCCTTGTTTTGCATCCAGTACATCCAGTACAGTATTGTATCATGTATGGTTTTGTTTCAAACCTTAAATGCTCATATTGTGTTGTTTTACATTGTGACTTATCATTTTACCTAATGTTATTTTATGCCCTTTTTGTAATCTGTTGTTTTTGTCTCATGTTGTTCCCATTTGTTTTGTTGTTTTCTAAAGTGTCCTATCCTTCTGTAAAGTATTGCATGTAATAATCACATCATGCTAACATTTCTCATGTGTTATTTCATCATCTTTTATGATCTCAGTAGTAAATATTTTCTTTAATAGTGGACTTTGAAGTAGTTTTAGTCATATAACTTTGACATGTATCCACAGCTGACCCTTATTTGACATTTCCTTTGATATGATCGAACAGAGCAGCTTCCCCCCTTCTCTCTTTTCCTCCTCCATTATGGAAAAATTATTAACATCTGCTACACAGACATCAGGAGAAGTCATGCATGCCTTAATGGCCCCTTGTTTAGTCATTTATGGGTAAGCATGTCATTATTCCAGGATTTATGATCAGCCAGATCGAGAATGCGTTCTCCCGGAGTTTCACCTAGCAATTATTTATTTTGATTTTTATGGCAACAAAGTTTCCTATCCTCCCTCACTATCCAATTAATGCTGATGATAGAGCACGTCTTAGTGCTCCAGCTTTTGTTTTTATCTGCGTTTATGTCCTTTGTCGGAATGCAAAACAATTTGTGATGAGCCTGTTTTGGAAATAGTGATGTATTATTAAGTTTGTAGTGAAATAACAATAAAACTCCAAGGACAACCGAGGAAGTTATCAAAGTCTGCCAACAAAAGAAGGCCAAACTGATAAGTCAAAGATGTTTGATCAACTATTTAAAAAGTTCACCTCCGTCTCTAAAAGACATGAGGGGGTTTGTAGCCATGCAGATAGTTTTTATAAGCCTTTATTTTTGCTTTGATCGCCTCCATGTATATGAATAATAGAAAACATCTCTTGATCCACATAAGCTGATGTTTTTCTAAAAGCTCCAATGAGGAATTTTTAACATTTATAAAATGGACTGAAATTCATTTTAATGTCTTTTTAGGATAACCTGATGCAACTGAGACCATCACTGACAAGACTGGCAATCATTATGTCATCATTTTGATACCTGAAACTGGTGCGATAGGTTAGTAGTCAGCCAAGCAGCTGAAGAAACAGTCTTGCTGACAGTCTCATTTGCTTTTGGATATCACGGCAAGGCATCAATATGAAATTCAGCCTACTTTGTTTGAGTCAAAAAAAATCTTTTTTGGCTTACTATATATTTAGATTGTTCTCCACAATGCACATTAACTAGGCAATAAAGTCAGGAGATCTGTGAGTTAAATTGACAGTTTCTAAGTATATGCATGGTGTCAAACTGTGAGTTCAAGATTGAAATAACATCTACAATAGCAGTGCATAACTTATAAAAGGATGCATCATGGGCAGATGAGGTCATATGAATGCATTTCTGGGTTCTGTAGTTCATGCCTTGCAGAAAACTTGCTCCTGCCATTTGCATCCATTTAAAAGGTGTGAATTATGTCGTCAAAAAAAACGACTGCAGATTGAAGGCAAAAGAGGTGGCATGAGTGAGTAAAGCCATGCACAGCTTATTGATACACACACATGCATGTGTGCGTACACCCGCCCACACATACACACACTCATTCCTGCAGTCACAGTGTCTTGCACAAACCTTTCCTGACATCCTGTCCCTCTACCCTGGAGCAGCCCTGAGGAGGCTGCCTCAGATCAAGGTCAACACATCACTCAGTCCCTGAAGCTGCTGCAGGAAGAGTCAATGAATGTTGTAAGGCCTGAAAACACACCTCACATCTACACATGACAAGTTTCCCTCCAGAACCAGAGGTGACGTGTAGTACACCTGCTGCTCTGAAAAGAGTGATGGCCTAAAAAGCTGAAACAAATTACTCTCAAGTGACAAAATCAGAACATTTGCACACACACATTCTTTACTAAGCTGCTAGGTGGTGTGTTTTTAGTCTGTTAGTAACACAGAGTTTCAGCAATGTGTTCCTCAAATCGTCTTTGGCAAGTTGAAGAGCACAGACGAGACCTCTCTCTGACTTGAACCGAAATGAGGATGCACAGAGGGTGTGTGGGGGGTTTCATTGCAAAAGCCACCATCTGGTGTCAGTGCGTGGTGTTGCTCACCATGACCAATCGTGTCATTAGATTATTGAATAATTAGAGGAGGGATCATGTCTACCCGGCGAACATGCCTTTCAAGTGTATTAGTGTGTGTGACTGAGGTCTTGATCACAAGGAGCTGCGTGATAGCTGCAGAAATATGCATGAGGAGAAAAATGGGAGTGCCTGAGCAAAGTTTTTTACTAAATAAGTCCATTGTTTTAAAAATTTCCCTCATAATAGTGGAAAAAACACTTGACAGGTCGGCTTGTTTTTGCAGTGAAACTCTCTGGTAGACTTTCAATTTCACTTTCTCTGTGTAGTCACGATTCCTCTATGCAAGTGTGGCACGTATCTTTTTGGAGAAGGACATCACTGTGTTGAATCCTTTTATAATAAAAGTTGCATAAGCTTCAAAACAGCAAGGGACCACCTTTCAAGCTACACACAGCCACAGATCTTTTATATATCTATGAGTGTTGCATTGCATCTAAAGAAGTATTTAAATACAAATCCTGATCCAACCATTCTTGTGATTTTATCCGTAAGACTGCTGTATTTCTTTAGACATTTTCCTTTGTATCTTTTTCAGCTTGTACATTTTGTTACTCTAAACTGCAGCTAGCTGGGCAATAGAGACTTACTCCTGTGCTCATGAGAACCAGTTTAGGCCTGTGCAGAGAGCATTTGATGTCACAAGGTCAAGCCACATTTAATACACTGGATGTACAACAAGTGTAAGGACTTAAAGTATTTTTGGTTCTGATTTCTTCATTATGACATCTGTGGATGTGCTTGCGTTTATCAGCTGTCTAACTTGGCTAACAGGCTCGCTGTGAGTGAGACCAAGTACGTATTACAAAGTTGACCCAGCATTTTACATTAGTTAGAGAGGCAGAAATGCTCTTTCGATTCAACATAACTTAAGTTGCACATGATTTCCAAGCTGTTTGGTTTGAACTGATATAGATGGTACTATTTATAACTTAACTGCCTACTGCTAACCTATTTATGCATTCTGTGTAATTTAACCTGTAGAGAGATTAGTAATTAAAGTACTAATAAAGGGTAAGCCTTAAATGGTAGTCATTACCTTTTTAAATGTAGTTAGGTAAAAGTACATGTGTAAGAAACTCTCATATGAAGTAAAAGTTCGTTTGGTTTGTTAAAACATATAAAATGGCAACATGAGGCAGAAATTTATATTGAAAATAAATATTTATGTTATTGCTATATGTTATTATAGTCGTCTCTATAATAGAAATATTACTAATATAACACACATGGAATGATTAAATGTTTTGTATATAAATGATTTAATACAATTGCCTCATGTGTGTGTAGGCCTATAGCTATTGCTCTACCTATCTGCTTAATGTTTATTTATGAAAATCCGTGGTGAAAGTTATCCTTGAGTATGCAGGAAAATAACTAAAACTCTGAGGTTTGTTACAAATCAAACCGTTCGAAAATCGGTTTAAAATTGAGCAATCTGTGGTTATTTAAATGCTACATGCGCCATAGACTGTAATACTATAAGTGGGCGAATGTCCCGTAGTAAAATGGCCGCCATGCGCGGGCGTCGGTCTCCATTGGCTAACAGCGTGCGTAAACCATCTAGCATTTATACATATATGTGTTAAACAAACATGGCGGACTTTGAGTAAGCGCGCCAATCCGGCGTTCTGTCCCGTAATGTGAAGAGTGGAGGATGTTTGTCTTACCTGAGAAGAGTGACAGGTGGAAAACTCTCTAAAAGTCTGAAACTTCGATGACTTTGGCGGTAGAAGAGTGAGGACGTTACTAATTTATCCAAACACCGGCGGGAGGAGCAGAATTGACAACTTAGAAACCGCAAAACAGCCGAAGGAGGTCCAACCTACGGTCCTGAGATATACCGGGTATGCTAGCTGGACTGTTGGAGTTAGCATGATGAGTCGGCACAACTGGAGACTTTACAACTTCTTCTTCGACATCTGACGAATATATAAGCAGCTGGACTTAAAGGTAAGTCATCAAACTGTTTTTTTGAAGTTTTTAAATGATAAATTTGTGGAGTTCCTTTTTGTAAATAGTAGTTAGGCTTTATGAGTGATTAAGCCACACCAAGCTAAAATCCACAGAACTAATGATAGGAGGTTTAGCAGCACATACGGAAATTAAACATTTCCAGCAGTGCTCTCAACATTATAAGTCAACCACTGTGAATGAAATTTAGATATAAGGCCACCATTATCCTTAAAATACTGTAATAATTAACAATGAACATTTCCAAACACCAGTATATGTCTATTTATAAGGAAAATAAGGTGTGTGTAACTTAGTTTATGACTGTAGTTTTTAACTATAGAAATACATAGCAACGGAAGTACTACAATGTTCCATTAGAGTTTAAAGTACAAAAAATTGTGCATTTAAATAAACAATAATAATAATAAATGGTCATTAAAAAGTAAAGTCCCATTTTTTTTTATTATTCTTTCGTATTGTTAATGTGCTCACCTTTAAAGATTTGTACATTACAGGACTTAATTGTTGCAACTGATATAGATGGTGCTATTTATAACTTAACTGCCTACTGCTAACCTATTTATGCATTCTGTGTAATTTAACCTGTAGAGAGATTAGTAATTAAAGTACTAATAAAGGGTAAGCCTTAAATGGTAGTCATTACCTTTTTAAATGTAGTTAGGTAAAATTACATGTATAAGAAACTCTCAGATGAAGTAAAAGTTCCTCTAAAGTTCACTCAAGATGAATTCAGTGTTTATATTTCTGTATCTATAATTTCAATATAGAGTTGAATATTTAGCTTTTAATTAGAAGGTCTGTTTATTTCTATAGCTCAGGTTTAATAGCACACCTCTCATCTATGAATCTTTCGTTTGCATTCTTCTCTCACATTTGACGGTTTGTGGTTTCTGTTGTGATCAGAGATGTTTTTGTTGCACCTGCAAATCAGGAAATAATGCAGATGATCCAGTGACCTTTTTATTTATTTGTGATGTGGTTTCGGTACAAGCAGTGTTTGCGACCTGTTTACATGCTGCCACATTGATTGGACAGGAAGTCTCACGGTTGGTATTATGTTTCTTTTTTCATTTTGCATCCGGTTTCATGTGAGGTCTCTATACTGTGTCTCTCATTTTAGCAGTGTTTGCAAAGTAAAGTTATATAGTCTTTAAAAAAATCACTAGCTAATTCTGTCTGGTGAAGCATTATTCAGGTCTTGCAGCCCTGTGTAGTGACATTCTGGTCATGTGCTCAGCTTGTCTAATCCTCACAGTTTATTTAAAATAGTGAATTGAAGTGGCAGGTCTAGTGTCTGTTATCTTGTCATCCGTGCAGCCCTGAGATGCTTGTGACAGGCTCTCTGACTCCTAGTCACACGGGTTTTATGGCATTTCAAGCCTCTCGTTGAAATGATTTATGTGGTTGGCACAGATGTTGCTCAGATCCTGATTTTTCATTCAATTACTGAATCTATCTTGCTGTTTTAATTATGGCTATGAAAAGTCCCATATTCCTCCTCTTCAGCTGCACTTCTCAGCCTGTATTAGGGCCCTGAGATAATGTGTCTGTCCACGCTGCTGTCAGCTACTTTTTCTTCCTCTCTTCCTGTTTTTTCTTCTTTGTGTGTGTGTGTGAGGTGCAGGTAGAGGTAAGTGTGCTGTATCTTGGTAAAATTTCAAAGTGGTACTCACACACACAATTCTTAAAAAGTTATTCTAATTAGGAGACTAAACCACAGGGTATACAACAGAGCAACACAATAAATCACCAATTTATCAAATAAGAGTAAGAGTGTTTGCAAACATCACGAAAATCTTAATTTTTTGCAACAAATCAAGAAATTATTTCATGCTTTCTCACTGAGCATGTATATTTTACCTGTTAGACGAAAATCTGAGTATTAAATTCAAGCTTTTACTCACCTTATGATGAAGTTTTAGCCAGCTGTAAGGTAACAAAATACAAATATGTGCTTTAAATATTTGTTTGTTTACTATACACCATATTTTTATCATTGCAGTGTTTTTTTTTTACATTTTCAGCAGGCCTATTTTTTTATTTTTTTTAAGATTTGCTCGCAAAGGGTTGAACCAAGTGTAGTAAAAATAAGAGAAAAATAATATAAAATAAAGTAATGACTACACTTTATAATGCTACACATGTTTGGAGTTCATGCCAACACAGTTAAATATGAAAACAAAAAACATTTCCAATCCCAACATATGATTTTTCTTCTGAAAAAAAGTTTTCAGATATTTAAAACTTTCATCACTTTTATTTCACCACAGCAGAACTTGTCTGTCACTCATTTTTTTCTGTTTCTGTGAAGGCTGTCACTTTCTTCACTGGAGGCTAACTTGTTTTGTAAATCTCATTTCTCTCAAAAAGTTTGTAACACTGCAATCTGCTCATCATTCTCACTTTGGCTTCTTGGAAATGATATTCAAACATCCACAGAGCATTACTCTTGACAGTCAAATGCCAGCTTGTGTGGCATAACAAGATGACTTATCTTAAGTTGATAAGATAGATAACAAGATGCACATCCTCAGTTCTCGGAAGTGCACAGCAGCAGCCGTAGTGGCGCTGCACTCGTCTGAAGCTCTCTCCTCAGTCCTTGGAGTATCAGCTTGGCGACGCACTCTTACCTGCTTTTTTTTCCCTCTCTGAGGTTTTGTTTTTCCTACTTAAGTGGCTGAGCTCTTCTCCACGGTTCCAGCAGACCTCATGCATTTTTATTGCCATCTGGAGAATACCAACAGGTCTTAACAAGGGGGCTCTTGTTGTAAAAACTGCTTTCCGTGGAGACGGACTCAGAGTCAACTCATTTGACTGGTTGTGACCTGGTGTGTGCGCCTGCATGTCCCTGTGTTTGTTCATATGCATGTGTGTACGTGCGCTCCAGGATTATTGTTTGAAAGAAATATACAGGAAAGAGCTGCTTGTATATGCATCAGCACAGTTTGTTGGCTGTTTGAATAACACACAAACAAGCACAAATAATTCTCGTCTTGTGCCTCCTCTTTCCCTCCCCTCCCTCTCCCAGGAGCACCAGAGTTTGATGGGCCATCCCAGACGCCAGTTGACATTTTGTCCCCAGTCCGACCGGATGCCACATAAAAAATTCACTCAGGCGAGAAGCCGGGAGGAATACCCAGCTCCCCCCCCACCCACTCTTCAGCGTGTGCCTCTCAGTGGGGAGTGCAAGGTGAGCAGAACTTGAGCTTGTCATGGCTGCACGCCTCTGACAAACATAAGTAGATGCTAATGGCAAAATCGTGACAGAGCAGAGTCCCACCACCATATGGCTAATTGCCACAACAATATCCTCTGTGTTATTAATCACGTTTTCATAGTGTGCCATGATAATTGGAATAATTAGGAGGGGAACAGGCACTGGGATGCTTCTGCAACATCCCTTGCTTGGAGAAAAAATATAAAACCTTGCAAAAGTGTGTCACTTTCCCCTCTTTGTCCCCCATGTCAGGTGCTCCCTTCTGCCCAACAGCATTCACATTCACCATCTCAGTCTTTCTTTTGCCTCATGCTTCCTCTTTTCTTCCTTCTTTCCTTTCTGTCTCGTTCCCTCAGCTTCCTTTGCCTCACTAATCGCTCTCCTGCTCCCCATTTCCCCATCTTGTTTACAGTTTTGCAGTGAAAAATGAAGTTGATAATTAATGAATACAGTGACATGGGGGCCTTGGCTGGGAGCAGTTCTGGGGTGTGGTGCGGGCATCTCAGGTAGCTGAATGAGGCCACATGCCCCACTGAGCCTGAACAATGAGTGTTTGGGGTTAACCCTTCACGGGCCGGGCTGTTGCCCTCTCAGCAGTTTTTGTGCAGTAGTGGTGTTTTGTCACTTTGGAGGAAAACCCAAAGTTAATCAGCGAATCGTGTGTCAGAGTCTTTCGTGGGTAGGACTGGTGTGAAATACTTGTATGTAATCAGCTGGACCTGTTTATAAAAAATTCATTAATTTTAAAAATTGTATGAAATCAACCTTCAAAATTAATGAGTACCCCTTAAGCAGCCCTTTATAGAGTCCTGTGGGTTGTGATTAACTATTCAGTGATTCATTCTGCTGTTTGGCCCATAAATCTCTCTGTTTATCCACGAGCAACCTCAAAGTCTTAGAGATAGCCGAGACATTTTGAAACCCGAACTTTATCGATTCTGACAGCAAGTCAATCAATAGGACATCTGTAGCATTTAGATGGTTACTCCCCTCGTCTGGGCTCCTTCTGCCAAATAGTCCAAGAGAGAGAACTCAAACTTCTCAGGGCGAGTCCTAATGAAGAGGTCTTTTTTTTTCTTGAGCTGCGTGACCTCAATCCAAAAAATGATGAGTGGAAAAAAAAGGAGGAGAAGAGAGTAAATAAAGTATAAGTATGCTGTAGTATAATGCTGCCCTATTGCTCATGGCAGTGATCTATGAGAGGAATAAGCTCCTGTTTCAACCGGTCTTCATTTTCTCGTTATGGAAAAGCTCTGCTGAGGTAGTTGAGGATCCAAAACCATCACTATGTTTTATTAAAACTCCTCTTAATGGCTTCTTCTGAGTCCCAAAGCATTTTTCTGACATAATGATAAATAAAATGATAACAGCTAATAGATCTGTTAATTGGCATAAAGTGCATATAGTGCTTTAAAAAAGGGATAAAAATTAGTGAAATTATCCTCAGGTGATGAATAATCTTTTTATTGAGCAGCTAAAAGAACTGAAAAATCCGAGTATTTTTCATCTGCTCTCATTAGTATTTTGTTTTGAGTCATTATGTTTTCAGGTCAATCCATCCAGATCTTGTCAATGCTAATATCAGTAAACACCCGAAGGAAATATATTCAAAATTTTGTCAGAAACGTCACCATTAGCCAAATAAATGGGATTTTGGTGGTCAAATGTCAAACCTCTGAAAAACCTTCGTTTGGCCTCAACTTAAGATCTCTATCCCAGATTTCTCTATTAGTAGGGCTAAGGGCATATCCTAGGTGTGGGACTGGGTGACTGGCAGAGTACACCTCATCCAATAAACCAAACTGCAGAGAGGTTTTAAGGTGAGGTAAGGTAGACTTTATTGATCCTGCATGGGGGGAACTATTTCACCACCAGGACAAGGAGTCTCATACAGACAACAGACAGCATGGAGACATCAGAAAAACATAGACTTACACAAGATTCTCAACCAACACAGTAAAGGCCAATGAAACATGATTTAAAAGTGGTACAATGAAAGATAAGGACATGATTAAATACAACAAAAGCCTGATAAAAAATGAATAAATACTAAAATAGTTACCTCTACAAACTATGCAGCAGTGCCAAGTCAGACCCTAACATACACTGTTAAAAATCTCACTGCTGCTGGAACAAAAGACCTTTTCAGTCGTTAAGTGAAGCACTGAGGCATCACAAGTTGCTCACTAAAAGAGCTTTCAAGACCTTAGAAGACGTAGTGCAATAGATGATTTTTGTAGCCCAGGATTAATTGATTTAGACCTGGTCCTCCTCTCAACGATGGCCTGAAGAGACTCTGGGACTAAGCCATTTACTGATCCGGCCCTCTTGATCATCTTGTTGATCCTTATTTTGTCGTCAAATGATATGCTGCCCCCCAGCAAAGTACAGCATAAAAAAGGACTTGAAGATGAAAGTGTCTTAAATGATCATCAACAGCACTTGAAGAGGTGCTCACCACTTTCTTAAGGTCAAATCCTGGAGTGGTTTGTTTGCAGTAAGAATCAAGATTTGAGGCTGTTCAGGTCTATATCCTATATCTACGCATACATTTGTTCTCCTCTTCTTGTAACCCTTCAAGAATGTTGCTTATTTCTAACCAGCCAGTTTAGCTTCAAGCATTTAGAAACATGTTTGAGAAATACTCGATGACTTCTTCTGATGAATGCCGCGCAGCAGTCTCAGAGGAATTTGGAAAAGTTGGATGATTTTTGCAGAATCACTCGCCGTATATCAGCCTTTCTCTGTTTTCTCTAATCACTCTTAGGGTCTTCATAATGACTAGACTCTCCATTTAAGCAATTAGCCTCACTGGGGCACCCTGTTAACACCATTCACACCTCCCTCACTATCGCTTATCAACACTTCGCATGACACAGCCAAAGACCGAGCTATTTTTTCACCGCACACTTCCCACTCATTCAGTTCTCTTTTTCACAGCTCCGTCTCTCTTTCTCCATCATTCTCTCACTCTGGCATACATAGGCATGTACCCTTCATACATGCAAACAGATGATTATGACTCACCTGTGTCAGATATGAGCTTTGGTTTTACTCGTAACATTTCTTCTGAGGAAGGAAGTATCAGAGACCAGCGTTGTTCCCACTATTTCCAGTATTTTTCCAGTCGCTATGTGCTTCAGCTGAGTGTTCTTTGGTGAAGATGCCAGTATTAGGGATCCATGATATTTGGATTTTTGTGATGAACTAATTGCCAATAATTTAAATCCAAATTTGTCCAACACAGTCTTCACTACACCATTTTTTAAGAGCACCAGCTGTCAATCTGTAATGAGAAACTGTAATAATAATAATAATAATACACCCCTGATATTTGAGTTTGCTCCAAATGTGCTGTTTCACCTCTTTCTTACCTGTTGCATCTTCTCCCAGACCTTTATTGTGCGTCTTTCTCAGGTTCAGTCAACTCAGGCCTGCGAACACAGCCTCATTATTCGGTCCTCTCTAACATCTGCCCATCAGAAATGTTTATAGCTTGACTACAGTTCCAATCTGTCACACAGACATCATATAACTCTGTGACGTTATCTGTTTATTGTTGTCGCACACTCAGGTTTGATATGCTGAGCAGACAGAAAAGAGTTATGGTTCCTGTGCAGAATCAGGGGGAGGGGACCGGGAGGCTTTTCTACCCCCCGCCTTGTCATTTCAGACAGTTATGGACCCAAGAATGACAAAAAAACAGCTGCTCCTTTGACCATAAAGCCTGGAGCAGAGCCCTTAATTGTTCCTGCGTAGAGACGGAATAATCTCCACCCAGGCCCACCCTAGAGACCAGGAGTTGAGGGAACAAGAGGAGGCAGAAGGGGATGTTGTAGCCGGACAAAAAGGCAGGATGGATGGATGGCAGAGTGGGCAGATTTTGGCACAGAAATCTGAGGGAGTGGGCGGCAGGTTGAGAAGTCTCCTCCATTCATAGCTTCTTCATAAGCCGTGGACTTGAGACTGAAACTGGGTCATGTCAGAAATTAGGGTTCTTTGTTTGTGTTCATCCGAATATCACGAGTAGGCTGGTAATTTCCAGTGTTGTCTTTTATATGTTGAAACCAGCGTTCACATCGGCGAGCGCTGTTCAGTTTCCGATTCAGATAAGCCTCATACAGGCCAGAATCTTTCCATTTAACAGCAACGGAAAATGCTGATTTTTTTTATAGGTTAGCAGGTCGTATAACAGAACAACATAACCAGCTGATTCAGAAAGCTGATATGAGATGAGAGTGTTTTGGGTGCCTGAAATCATTCTTCTTTTACATATCGGACGCAGCGCAATACTCTTATCAGGTTACTATGGATATAAAAAGAATGATCATTTGTGTAAAACTTCCCTTTTTAATTTACAAATTAGATATTGTATACATGCAGCAATGACCTGAAGACACAAACATGGGTCAGATCTGCCTTGGCCCTGCATTTTTTCTCATGGCCAGCAGGGCGCTGAAAGAAGTCTGAAATAAAATAACCCGTCTTTACACTTGATGTTTCACCTAAGTGGACATTTTTCCACATGTTGTAGGTTCAAGTGTGTAGTCTGAAGAATGATTTTGATTGGTCAGTGATAGAGGAGTGATATTTAACTTATAGTGCTGTGAACACAGGGATAAAAAAAGATGACATTGATGTTTGCGCTTAAAATGCTGAGATCGTAAAAAAAACTGGACTGCATTGATTCTGTCGAGAATTTGCCCTCAGGGGGAAATAGACAGAAATATGGTGAATTTTAGAGGTGAAAGTTTAGTTTTACCTTTAGAAACTTCATTTTTCAGTTTGTATATTTTATGTAAAGGCTTCTTTTCACAAGACAAATTTGGCATCTCAAGCTCGTACTGGCCTTTGCAGCCAATTTTGCATGCTTGGCTAACTCACAGCTCGACCTTTTCAACCAAAATCTCTCTCTTCTAGCTCCAGCAAAAGTTTAAGTTTCAATTGGGTGATCTCCTCTCATCAAGTAATACTTCAATCTGTTGATATTGATCCGACAAAACACGCAACAGCACATGATCAACACACTGACTTCTTACTGCTGCTGCCACTTGTGTTAATTTGCAGCTATTACTGTTGCAGCTGCGTCTTCCAGTTCAAAGTCTGAACACCTACTGTTCTTAAGCTTTTACAACGTGGTTCAGTCCTCTCCATCAAAGGCCTCCTTCAGACACGAAGTCTGAGTGCGTCTGTCACTGTGTTCCTTTCCTGCGTTCCCCTCGCTCTCTTTCTCTCTCTGCCTCTCATCTCTAGAGGTGAGCTCTAGGTTGCTCCCCATATTAGTTTGCTTTCCACTTAATGAAGCAGCGGAGCATGAAGGTCCAAGCACTCCTAAACGCTGTGTTCATTAAACCAATGGTGCTTAATGATGACGGCAAAGACACCCGCGACCCGCCGGCTCCTACTGAGGGCGACCATTACCGTTAGAGCCGGCCAGCTGGGGGGGAGACGTTATCATGGAGGGAGGGAGCTGTCAACTGTCAACAACACTGTCACAAGGACGCTTCGCACCCAGCAGACGGCTGCAGCAGAGACAGTGAAGGAATGTATGGAGCACTGTACAGGATCAGATGCTCCCCCTTACTCCAAAAAGTTGTGACAACCAGATTTTGATAGTTTGCAAATTCTTTAAACTCCATATTTCAGTGACATTTGTGCAAAGACAACATATCAAATGTTGGAACTGAAAGATTTTCGCATTTTTGTGCTAATCCTTAAATTTGATGCCAAAAACACATTTCAGAACAGCTGGGATAGGGGCAACAAAACAGTGAAAAAGTTGTGTAATGTTTTAAAAAAAACAGCTGGAGAGATATCTTTCAACTAATTTGGTTAATTTGCAGCAGCTCAGATACATGACTCTGTATAAAATGGGCCAAATCAGAGAGGCTGAGTCTGTCAGAGGTAAAAATGGGAAAGGGTTCACCACTCTGTGAGAGGCTGGGTGAGCAAATAGTTCAGGGTTCAGGGTTTTTATGATCTATAGTATATAATACCATTAAAACAAGAAGGAAGAGAATCTGGATGAATTCCTGCAGGAAAGGGTCAAGGCCGAACAGCTTAAACATCTGGGAAGGAACTAGGGCTGGGTGATATGGCCTCAAATCAATATCACAATACATTGAGCAGTTGACCTTGATAACGATAAATGGACGATAACTACTCCACAAACTGCTCACCCCCTCCCACATTAACATCGTCTACTTCAGCCGCCGCTACAGCCGCTACAGCCGCTACAGCCGCTACAGCTTTTGAACCGTCCTCCATCTCCTCACCTGTCTTTCCCTCTTTGTTACAGACTGGATGGGGTGGAGTCACGTCTCGGACCTAGGACAGCGTCTTTAAGGGACATAAGACCATGGCCTACCTATACACATCCAAAACCAACTTTTATTTATTCATTGTTTTGACACCGAATATATTGACACGGGCAAAATGACGTCAGTAATTGTCGTAAATTTCTGTATCGGTAATTTTTCGGTTTATCACCCAGCCCTAGAAGGAACCATTGATGCTGAACAATGTATACAGACAATTACAGGGAGGACTTTATAGCTCAGTAAGACGATGCCAAACCACACTCTGCATGCATTACAACAGCATGGCTTTGCAGTAGAAGAGTCTAGGTGGCTACCTGCAGTTTCTACATGTTATTTTTAGTTACATAAATGAATTGTAAACCAAATCATATAACCCTGTTTTTATCAATGGTTTAAACAGCATCTAAACTTTTTGGGAGTTGGGGCTGTAGCTGTGGTGTGATGATTATCTCATGAAGAGTAAAAGATCTGAGGAGACTTCGTATCTTGAATAAAACAGATGAAAAACAGTAGTAAAGAAAGATGCACTAAAGGCTCAAGTTTTGCTCTCAGAGGTTATTGGCACGAGTCAAGTGTCGAATAACCACTCAAAGTAGGGAGTTATCTCCGCTTCAGGCTCTGTCTAGTGTTGAACAAGTTGTCATCATGATCATCGGATGTTTTAACTCAGGCCAGAGTGACACAATGATTTTTAAATATACATAGAAAAAAGAAATGTTCAGTCATCACAAATGATTTTTTAATTCTCTATCTTTCTTCATTCAGTCAGGTTATTGTTTGAGTGTCATATTTGTGTCCTTTAGTGAATTTGTTGACATTTACAGGATGCATTTTCCATTTAAAACAAAGTAATACCAAAGTATAAAGTCCTTGAAAATTCTTCCAGGATAGTTTCCTTTTCACACACTGAGCCTTTGTGTTGGTTTTGATATTTAGTGAAAGTGTTGGTACCACAATAAGGCACATTTTCTCAGCTTTGCCTCCTTTACATTCAGGATCTGTCTCCCTCCTTGCTGCATCGCCCATTTCTACTTTCTCAGACAGATTTAAAGCTGAAGTGCTCCATCAAAGGTACTTCATGAGGTGTTTAACAAAAGCCTTCTGGAAAAGAGAAGTCCACTCCTCAGCCCAATGCTCTCTTCTCTCTGTCTTTTGCTCTAAACTGTGTGTGGCCACCTCATTGCATAAATGAAGCATGCATGCACACACACACATACACAAATAAGTGCTTTTGTGTACACACACATACACACACAGACCGCTTGCGATTTCCATGCAGCCCTCAGAGGACACACTAATGTATCCAAATATATTTACAACAGATGTTGCATTTTATTTTTCATGATAAAAACCCATTTCAGAAAATTTACTTCATAATGGGCAGAGCAAGTTTTCCTTCCCTCTCTCTCTCTTTCTTTTTTGTCTTCTTCTGAGCTCACTCGCATGTAAAGTGAGAGAAGTGCACCACCTAATGGTCGCACACGTCTCCTCTCTGTCAAACTTTCATTTACTTTCACTTAAACAGTAAAAAAAGTAAGATTCTTCAAACTTAAACCAACACTTTGCTTATATTATGAATCTAATTTAAAGCTTGTCCACCAACTCAACTTAAGAGCATGCCTGTTAGGGACAAACTGCTGCAGTGGCTGCATGCTGAGTGCTCTGAACAATAATGATTGACAGCTCACTCAGGGCGCAATGCATGGACTCATGACGGTCTCTCTGTGCAAAATAATAAAAGTTAAAGCTACAAGAGGGTGTAATCGTTTCACTGTGCTGATTCTGAAATATGAGCATAAAATGCAAGGATGTCATCATGCAGTTTAAAGTTCAGGGTGTCCTCTAGATCAGCGGTCCGACTAATAAGACATGAAATTGAGTTGATGCAGGAAAATGTTGTTTTTGATGATTAAACAAAGATAATAACTGATTATTAATTAGAAGTCACCTAAGTTTATTTTTTGCCCATACAAACATGAAAACATGATAAAACTGCTTTAGTCACTATCCAAATATGTTATTTTAGATTTCAGTTTCCTTATTCACCGGCTCAACATTTTGTATTTTTTATTTCTGCATTGGGAGAGAAATATTAAAACATTTGAGCGAAGATTAGATCCAATTTGACAAATATTTACATATATTTATAGATTTTAGTAGAGGAGTGTTCCTGGATTTTATGTTTAACGTTGCTGTTGTTGGTTATGGGAGCTTCATAGGGGATTCAATTTAGTTTGAGGACATGATAATAAGTCGGAAACAAAAAGGTGGAAGGGATGCAGGATACGAGAGTGAAAGGGGATGAGAGGGAAAAGTTGGAGACCTTCAAAATTACTGAATATACTCTCAGTTTGACAATAAAAACTTCCTTTTTTCCAGCTCTATATATGTATACATGTAGTAATGCAGCATCTGAAATGTTGTGCCGTAAAGGTCAGTCATATTGTGGATCCCAAATTTCCAAAACATGACAAAAACTGCTTTCTCCATTTAAGAAAAGGGCTTGTTGTCCACCGTGATGAACTCCACCTCTTTCTCTGTGATCTTCATGGCCTCTTAGCTCTCTTAAGGCGAGACTGTACATCCTTCCTTTTACAGTCCAGAGTTTGTTGCTTTGTCTCAGCAGCCTTTGACACATTTCCATGCAGACGTCATATCAAATCTGTCGTATTTAATGTGGCCCTGCTGCTACCACCTAGCCAAATAAATATTGCATATGTTGGAAGCGGCTATAGGACTGTTTTTTGCTTTCTGCTTTAAAGTGTCTCTGCTTACATTTTAGCCACTCAGTTGCAAATGCTAAGTTACTTGCATATTTGTATTTTGCAGCAAATTGTGCTCAGCCAACGACAGCTAATGACGACCAATTATCAATCACATGTTGACAAAGAAAATGCTAAATTTGTCTTTTTTCAATGGGAATAATTTCTGCAGACATCTAGTCTTAAACAGCCAAGAGGTGCCAACTTTCTATTATTTTGGATTCAAAGTGTCCAGTTTTTCAGCGGACTTGTTCTTCTTGAGAAAAATAAGCATGTCCAGATGATCATGTGTCTGCCAAGAGTGCAGCCGGGTTACAGCTTGTTTGAGGCAGAAAGCACACTCAGACATCATCAATGCTGCTGGTAGTAAGTAAGAGATACTACCTTTCCAGCTTTGACAGTCTAGAAAATCTCTCTGCATGTTGTTTAAAAAGTGATCAACCTCTTTGTCTGTTTCGTTATCGACAGCTGTCATGTATTGCTCCCCTGAGAGAGAGCTGCTGATCAATGTCTTAAGCCAGTTGGTCAAGCTTTAGATGTAAAACACCACCCTCATAGCTGAGTGTAATATGAGACCACAGGTTGTTTATCTCTACCTGATCGAAACGAGAACAAAAATATGTGTTCAAGTATGTTCTTAACAATCATTTACTAGATACTCGATTAATTATTCACATCCTGAGTCGCTCTTTATTTTTGAAATGTCAGATTTCTTTTGTAACTACTAAACTATTTATTTATTTCTGTAGAGAGTGAAATAATGAAAAATTTTAGCTTTAAAATACCTGAGGAGAAAAATAATTTTTCCTGTTTATTGGAAATATCAAGTTTCTTATCTAGGTTCATATATAATCTCTTCAAAGTTTTCTTTGTTTTTACCTTTCTGCAGTTTTTATATGTTTTATATCTAAAGAAAATGAAAAATCAAAATCAGATTTGAGTTTTCTGTTAATCTTGTAGCTTCAAGGTTTCTTGTATTTTCATGTGAGGGCTTTATGAGGAGAAGATGGAGAGCCAGAGGGGAAGAAATAGATGCAACTGTGGAGGACAAATGGGGGGAAAAAACCCTGAGAGGGCTTGAGCAGAAGAAGAAGAGGAGGAGATGAGGAGGATTAGGTGAGGAGGAGGACAAGAGGCGCTCTCCCTCTCAGCCAGCCGGATGGGGAGAAAAAGAGTGACGGGGGAGAAAGCATGAGGAGGGGAGGGCGTTGCAAAAAAAAAAAAAAAAAGGCTGGAGTGACTGTGAGTGTGTGTGAGGGCTAAGTGAGGCCTTTATAAATGAAAGCAGATGCCTGGCATTATGAACTTGTCGGGTCGCAGATGGGGATGGCGGTGATGGAGCACTTGACTCCCCGGATGGTTATCATTCACTCTCCTCCTCTTGCCTCTCGACTGCTTTCCCCAGAGCTCGGAGGGTAAGAGGAAGAAAGAGGGAGAAACAGAATGGGTTGTAAAGAAAAAAGAGACAGAGAGAATATCCATAGAGAGAGAAAAAAAGAGGACAAGAAGGTGGACTTCTCAGCCAGTGATTAGTGGCCCTATTTGAATAAAGACCATGAATACAGTGTAAAGATAAAAGCTCTTTTTTCCAACTTCTTTTTCCTCCTGTGATTGATCTCAGTGTCGGTGTGCGGTGATTGATTAGATTGCCTGCGGAACATCATCCCGCTAACTAGTCGCTCCGAGAAGGGTGTTTGTCACTGCCATTGATCTTCTTGTAAATGAAATGTTCCATTTCCAGTGCATTTTATTGTTAAATGCAGTTCATTAGCCACCCTGAGATTTATGGTCGTGTCTCCTCTGTGGGGCTGGAAAAAGACGAGAGAAAGGCTGGAAGGAGACAAGAGGGGGAGAGGATGAGGAAGAGAAGAAGGGGAGCAGGGCAGAGATGAGTGTTGATGGTAGAGAGCTGCTGCAGACATGATAAATACGGCCTGAGTTTGCCAAGAGATGAGAGATAATGATGGTGGAGAGGAACTGACGCACTGAGCTTCCTGATATACTGTAGTTACACTTCTTGTCATTGCTGAGGGAACTTCTGCTCCGGCCCTCATAAATATTCTAGCTCCTAAAAAAACTGAGAGATATACTTTCTGGGATTATTGAATAAAAAAGACAGATAGAGAGAGGGTGAAAACTGACGCTGCATGTAGAAAAAAATGGCAAATTCAGGCCTCTAATTTTGGACAGGAATAAATAAAAGAAGAAAAAAGTTATAAAGAAAATAAAACATGTATTTTAGTGTGAAATGATTGATTTAGGGATTGCAGTGATCCAACTTTTTCAGTCTCAATAAAGATATTAATATTTACACCGATACATGGGCTTCAGTATTCTTACCACCACGACCAAAATAAAAGTAATTCATGTTAAAACTAAAATAAAATGGCTGATACAAAAATCTTTATCTCACTTTACTCTTATTGTGGCCATAAAATATCACAGATGGTGTTATTACAGTATTTGTGGAAATTTAGAAGGAAAAAACCCACAATCGGTCAAATTAAGAGAAGTCAAGACAAGGATGACGTTGGTCTGGGTGATAAACCGAAAATTTACCGATACCGAAATTCACGACAGTAACCGTCGTCATTTTGCCCATATGGCATTTTCACAGTCAAAAAAATGACATAAAATAAAGTTGGTTTTGGATGTGTGTAGGTAAGCTATGGTCTCATGTTCCTTTAAGACGCTGTCCTACGTCAGAGACGTGACTCCACCCCATCCAGTCCGTAACAAAGAGGGAAAGACAGGTGAGGAGATGGAGGCCATTTGAGGCCATATCGCCTGTTACTCCATAAACTTCACAAATAAATGCGTTTAGCTTACTCAGGTGTTATCATCCATCTCTGCTCATGACAAACACAGGAGGAACACAGAATGTAACTGTAATTAATAGTAGTTATTGTACAAAGTAGACGATTGAGGAGTGAACTGCAGATCTAGAATGTGTCAATGAAGTCATTAATGTAGATTGGATGTGTGACATGTCGAAGTGTAGGGTGTTT